GGTGGTGGTGGTGGTGGTGAATCATACTGATGAGCTTGTCCGAAATTGCAGGTGGGTTGGGGTCTGAAAAGACGTGTAGCGAGACACTAAAGGGGCTACTAAGTCCGATTTTGGGGCTTGTTTGGTAAAGTCTTTGGGCTATGCTTGGTGCTGCTACTGCTGCTACTAGTTTAGCTTTTGTGCTTTGGATGTTTTGTGAGATCAGTAGTTTTATCTTGGGTACTGTACAGTCGTAGCTTCTGTAGCTTTCTTGGTCTTATAAGTATTGCATTTTTTACTCCATGGCCGGCATTATGTTTTTTTGTTGATGATCGGAAAGCCCTATGAACAAACTCAGGCGACTATGTGGCGCCCTTCCCCATGCGGCCTGCCTCAGCACCTTGCAGAGGCCCAGCGACGCAGTTGTGGGTTAGGGAGCGAGCCTTTCGGACAGAGCCACGTGATATGGCAAAAGCAAGCGCAGGGAAACCTGAACGATCCAGCATTCCCATTGCGACTATTTCTTTCCTTCCCACTTTCTTTGCCATGGGGAGGCTATGACTGATTTTCGCACGTTCGACCGTAAGCTGATTTGGAGGCAGAAAGGTAGTAACACATCTCCATAGTTCCCCAACTTAGCAGTCTGCATTTCGAGCGGTGGCACGTGCTTGTATTGTATGTATTGTGACTCCTGCAGATCTTTGGCCTCCGCTTGGGTCGTCTCGTCCGCTGCGGGTCGCATTCCCTGTCCCTTGCGGCCTTCGGCCTGTGTTGCGCCCTGTCTGATGCTTGCTTAAGGGCAGTATAGGGCAGTTCCTGTTTTCTTCTCCCGCATCACGTCGGTGTGGTGTGGGCCCAACTTGTCCCGTTTGTCCAAACCTTTGTCACCGGCATGTCGGACCCCGGGGTGTTGCAGGAGGACTGCGACTTTCTAGCCTTCAGTACGCGTGCCCAAAGCAGGGTTTTGTACAAGGCGTGATTTTCGCACTGAGTCCTGATTTGTCTTTGGAAAAAGGAGGATGGAGTATTGATTTGTTGCACGTTCTTGCGCTTATCAGTGTTGCCTTAGAGTTGGCTCAAGAGCAAGCTGCGGCTACCCTGAGCTGATGAGTTCATGTCCTCTGCTTGTGCCGGCATAGGCTTATGTGGACATGACACAGGACCTTGATGACTGGCGCACGGTGCACGGAAGTCTGGCGGATACGGCGCAAAACCAACTCTGGCTGGATGTTTTCGAAGCTGCGTACGACATCAACGATTGCCGGCAAGCTTTGCTCAGCGTTCCCGCTTTTCTGGGTCACTTCTTGATTCGGGATTTCGATTATGAGGGCTTCCAGCAAGTGCTTTCTGAAGAGGATGATCTGGAGCGTAGCTTGGACGCCGACATGCAAGCCGTTGCAAGCTTGATGTTGAGGCTCGTGCTAACCATTGCAAAGACTCATGGTTTACCGTTGGAAGATTGGCAGGAAGCAAATGCAGCCTGTGGAAAGGCAGTGCGCAGCCTTCCTGCGTGCTACCGACTGCAGCGACAACTTCCTGGCGCTCTGAACGATGCCAGAGCCTTGCGCTGGTTAGAGGCGGAGGATGGCCCAGGCTCCAGCCTCAATCCATGGAACACTGATGAGGGGCGCGAGCTCTTTGAAGACAGGCATCAGGTACTGTGGAGTGATGTCAAGGCTCTCCTGGCAAAGGACGGGTGCGCTCTCGGCTCCTTTAGCGGGCCTCTGCTGGTTTTGGAGCTGGTGCACTTACCGGCCCTGAGCATCGCGCACTTGCAGGTTCTACACGCATGCGCCGCACTTTCCCAGGGAGACGTGGTGCTTTGGGAAGTTGATGCAGGCATTGGCAGCCTTCTGCAAGAGGGTTTCGTTATACATGGTCAGTGGCGTCAGCTGGAAAGCGAGTTCTGCTTCCTGAGCGCGTTCGATTGGATCTGCCCGGATTGGGCACGCGGACTTTCGGAGCAAGAACTGACAGACGAAGGGCACACCCAGCATGTCGATCTGGGAGCGCCGGAAAGTCTGAGTTGAGCAAATCCCACTGCAGCGTTCAGCCGCCACCTGGGTAACAAAGCTCGCAGTGGTCGTCTCAATGCAGCGCGGCATCCATGTGGAAGGGCAGATTTTTACCAAGCCTGCAAACTTGTGAATGAATGTTATGTTATGACGGAATCCAGCCCCCATGCCCTCTTCAATTCTGTAGACGCCGGCATGACGTGAGTGCAGTATGTTTCTCTTCGTGCAAGGCTCATGCACTTCGTTGGGAAGCCAGAGGCAATCTGGGTTTGGGGTAAACACGCATAATCTTTCTGAAATGTCCTTATTCTGCTTGCGACGACCTCAAAGAACTTTGTCTACATACATCTACATACTGAAGATCTACCGCACGATGGGGATTCTGAAGCTGCTGGTCGGTTGGGCTTGATTGGAATATGCCTCGCCTTGGACCACCCCAAAGCACTTGAAATGCATCCCGAAAATCCTCGAAGCCTGAGTGCAAGCAGGAGACAGCCTTGTGGTCAAGAGGCGCAGGCCATGTTTGGATAGGATAGACTCGGTCTCCGCCCATTCGTTGTGTTATGTGTAATCATGACAGCCGTGCAGGTGGTAGCGACTGCAGTAGCATAGTTTCATCAATGACCTCCTTGATTATTTGACTGTGTATCAGGCAAAGAGAATGAAAGTTTCTTTCCAGGTCCTCTTTTGGTAACTGATGAGAGTCCGCATGATTCCGCCATTTCTGTCTTTCCATCCTATGAGGCTGAAGCTGCTGTATTTACAACCACAAGCCGCGCTGCCACACTCCGCTCGTAGTTAATTTAGATGTTGCAGGCCATGCCCGCAGTTGGATAAAGGGGACACTCTTGAATCTGCGAGATGCATTACTTCGAGTTTTAGGCAATACTTGCAGCCCACGGCTGCTTAGTTCATCACCAAGGAACACCCGAGCCCTCAAGCGGCCCTGTGCTTTTGCTTTCCTTCTTGGCTTCACACTGGACACAACCCAAACACGCAATCTGAACTGAACAGGTTTGGCCGCCAGGGCAAGCAGTGCAGAAGAGTCGCGAGGGGCTGAGAATCCGCAAGTATTTGGCAAAGGTAGTACAGAGACAGGAAGAGCGTTGAACGGGAAGAATGCATAGAGTATTTTTGTCACCAGTGGCTGTAGCCTAAATCCTATCTGACTTGCAACAGTTGAGCCCGAGATTTCTTCCACCATCTGAAGCGAGAGTAATAAGTAGACAGATTCACGATGCCGGGCTTAATCATCCTATTGTTGATGCGGAAAGCCCTCGTGACTTGAGCATACAGGAGTACTTTCATTCCCAAAGTATACTGTAAGCTGCTGAAGGTGTTACAGGATGTTCAGTATCAACCATAGTAACCATAGTACTTGTACGAAAATTAGTCTCGCAGTTTCCTTTAGCCATGACAGCGCAAACAGCAGCATGTACGATGGCGATGGCATATGACCTTGATGCCGGCGACTCATCACTACTTATACTTGTACAGTGGTAGTGGCTGTGGATAGATGAGGAGGGGGCTCGGGAGGAGGGCTGTTGCTCGCATGGCTTCCCAATCCGGACAAATACCCCTCTTGGAGTCCAACCTTCTTGTCACTTAGGGTGTTTCTCTTTTCTAATATAGAGTAATTTTCCTCGACAAGCTCTCGTCAGTCTGTTATGTCCAGATTATTGAGGCGGGTTGCCATGTAATTTGAAACTTCTGGTTTAGGGTTAGGCATGTACATCTTAGTGTAACCAAGCATTCTTGAGACTCTTTGTCAATGACAGGTTCTCCTTCAAAAGCTGTACTGAAATGAGGCCGTGCTATAACAAATGATACTGTAGACCTGTCGGTTTCCAGCCGAGACAGAGATAGCAAGGGGTCATGTGCCCAATCAAATCTTATCTTGTGGCTTTATGCAGCAGATGTCTGCTCATTACCAGGATCAATGATAAGCACGGTTGGTAGTAGTATCACACAGTTCCTATTGTAGAAAGATGCGCCCTGCACGAAAATCCTAAGTCCTGCTGGAAGCAGAGGCCCCAGTTCTGCTGTTGCTGGGCGCATGGCGAAGGTCCAGATGCAGCCTGGCAGGAGCGGTGGAGGAGGAGGAGTGGCAGTAGTAGTCGTGGTATTGGTGATAGCAGGAGCAGGCAGCAGCAGTACCGTACGGGGCCTACGCGCCGAAGCCAGAAATGCCTGGTTTTTCCGACCCCGAAAAGTGGGGCCGCAGTTTCAATTAAGATTGCCTCGAGAAGCGGACTCGCCTAGCGCCCCCGTGCTGTGTAGCCAGACAACATCAGGGCGGGCCCCGCTCGTTGTAAACGT